CACACACACACACACACACACACACACACACACTATTCGTCTCAACTATCGTTTCCGTTGTTGGACTTAAGCTCATCATTCGTTCTTTACGATTGGTTGAATACTTATCATGTACATGTTATAAATGTATTTTGGCGCATATGCCGAGACAATACTGCTGTGTTATATATCCGTCCACACACACACACACGTGCACACGTAAACCTATACGCGTACACAAACAGAAAAAACTACTCAGAGAAGCCCACCATCTGTTGGTAAACAGAGCAACTTGTTCATGAAGCTTCAGACTCAAAAGTTCAAAGATTCACTGTTCATATACCTCCAGGTCGGTGTCTGCAAACTTTTTTCTCGACTGTACAGTACCTCACAGGTGTGAAGATAAACATTTGCCGACACTCGACTGCTCCCAGTGTGGACTGGATCAGCGCCTGTCTCTTGGTCAGTAAGAATTGTTGGTTCACATGGGCGCTCCTCTCGGGGTAACCCGGGACCTTAATGGTGAGTGTGAAAGTGAACTTGTCCACGACTCTCACCTGTTACAGTCTAATATCCCGATGGGTGGGGAGGGGGGTTGGGGGAAGGGAAGTGGGGTAGGACCAACAAATTAGCCCAGGCAGCTGACGAAGCAACGCCAATACGTCCTGACTCTCCCATGGTGTGTGTGTGTGTGGGGAGTGGGGGGGGGGGTGACCAGCCACTCTCCACACTAATCTAGACGCTTAATACCACAGTCGAACTTCAAATACTTCACCCAATAGAACATGGAGGAATTAATTACTGCACCTTACACACAGGATGAAAATATTCGACAGCTAAGTTAATTAATCCCCAAATTTAAGGCTACGAGCTAAAACACAGACACCAAAGAATACATAACAGAAATACTTATATTTATGTTGGGTTGGGTTAGGTTACGCTAGGTTTTGTGTTGTTTGCTTAGGTTTGATTATATCAAGCCAGGTAAGGTTAATCTAGGTTAGAATAGACGTAGTTAGGCTAGGTTAGGTCAGGTCGGGTCGGATCAGGTCAGGTCAGGTCAGGTCAAGTCAAGTTAGATGAAATAAGCTGAGATGCAAATCTTCAGGTGATCCAAGTTTAGTTGTTTTTTTACCAGGTCTTGTAACCATTAGAGGAGGAAGTGGTGGTGACAACAACACGAGATGGCTAATGGAAACGTCAAATAAATATGTCGTGATTTTTACATAACAAAAATATAATTATGGGAGAAACGAGAAGACACGAAAGAAGAATAGTGGGTTATTGAAAAGAATGCCCGAATGTTTGTGTCCTGGGTGTGGGATGTTTGTGTCCTGGGTGTGGGATGTTTGTGTCCTGGGTGTGGGATGTATGTGTCCTGGGTGTGGGATGTTTGTGTCCTGGGTGTGGGATGTATGTGTCCTGGGTGTGGGATGTTTGTGTCCTGGGTGTGGGATGTTTGTGTCCTGTGTGGGATGTTTGTGTCCTGGTGTGGGATGTTTGTGTCCCATGTGGGATACAGTCCTGGGTGTGGATGTTTATGTCCTGGGTGTGTGGGATGTTTGTGTCCTGTGGATGTTTGTGTCCTGTGGGATGTTTGTGTCCTGGGTGGATGTTTGTGTACTGGGTGTGTGGGATGTTTGTTACTGTGGGATGTTTATGAAGTCCTGGTGTGGGATGTTTAGTCCTGGGTGTGGATGTTTGTGTCTGGGTGTGTGGGATGTTTGTGTCCTGGGTGGGATGTTTGTGTCCCTGGGGTGGGATGTTTGTGTCCTGGGTGTGGATGTTTTAGTCCTGGGTGGGATGTATGTGTCCTGGGTGGGGATGTGCTGTGTCCTGGGTGTGGGATGTATGTGTCCTGGGTGGGATGTTTGTGTCCTGGGGTGTGGGATGTTTGTGTCCTGTGTGGGATGTGTCCTGGGTGGATGTTTGTGTCCCTGGTGTGGGATGCATGTGTCTGTGTGGGATGTATGTGTCCTGGGTGTGGGATTTATGTGTCCTGGGTGTGGCATGTATGTCCTGTGTGGCATGTATGTGTCCTGGTGTGGATGTTTGTGTTACTGGGTGTGGATGTTTGTGTCCTGGTGTGGGGATGTTTGTGTCCTGGTGTGGGATGTATGTGTGTCCTGGGTGTGTGGGATGTATGTGTGGATGTTTGTGTTACTGGGTGTGGGATGTTTGTGTCTCTGGGTGTGGGATGTTTGTACACTGGGTGTGGGATGTTGTGTCTCCGGGTGTGTGGGATGTTTGTGTCCTGGGTGGGATGGGCCAGGTACTGGGTGTGTGGGATGTTTGTGCCTGGGTGTGGGATGTTTGTGTTACTGGGTGTGGGATGTATGTGTCCCAAGTGTGGATGTTTGGTGTCCTGGGTGTGGGATGTTTGTTACTGGGTGTGGGATGTATGTGTCCTGGGTGAGTTTGTGTACTGGGTGTGTGGATGTTGGTGTTACTGGGTGTGGGATGTTTGTGTTACTGGGTGTGGGATGTTTGTGTTACTAGGTGTGGGATGTTTGTGTTACTGGGTGTGGGATGTTTGTGTACTGGGTGTGTGGATGTTGGTGTTACTGGGTGTGGGATGTTTGTGTTACTGGGTGTGGGATGTTTGTGTTACTAGGTGTGGGATGTTTGTGTTACTGGGTGTGGGATGTTTGTGTACTGGGTGTGGGATGTTTGTGTTACTGGGTGTGTACTGAGAGGGTACAAACTCTGCCCGCGAACCGTTAACATGGCGGGGTAAATATTGAACTCTTAACTATGTTGCTGTAAATTATTATGGTCACCGCTGGAAACTGTCTCATGTAATCGTTTTCTTTAACACCCGAAAAGATGTTACGTTAAGGGTTACCATGGCAACACTTGATTAATTATTGCGCGATTTGTACCGAACGTTTATCATGCGGACCTTATAACCTGTTGATCTAAGTTACCAAGTTTAGTTAAAATACTCAAACACGTTCTCGAGTTATTATGGTGACAACACAGAACGATAAGACTGAGTTACAGTGCTATGGAGCAGTTAAGGAGGAGGGGTGTAGAGTTAGTATGAAGGGTCATTCTCATACCATGTCTTCACTTACCTTAACCTAACCATTAGTAAACCAAACCTAATCTTAACCAAACCTAACCTAACCTAACCATAACTTTAGTAAAAATCCTCGAGTCATGTATTAACTACTTCTAGATTTCACAGTGTCTTATTATAGGAGTTCCAGAAGTTGATATTACAGATGGGCTTCTGATGGTGTGTGTGTGTGTGTGTGTGTGTGTGTGTGTGTGTGTGTGTGTGTGTGTGTGCCTAACCTACACGAGGGGTCAGTGTACGAGGCTCGGTCTAGACGTACAGGAGCTGGGTTTAAGAGGGCGTATTGTTAAAGACTCTTTAAGAGTAAGTTGGGTTTGGTGGTGTTTATTTACTTCCCATTGAGAGAGGAAAACGACGTCATTATTATGAATCACTCGGGCTGATAATCTTGTTGAGGGCCTCGCCACAACACACTCCCGACACGCTCTCGCTTGAGGGCCTCGCCACAACATATTCCTGATACACTCCTGCTTGAGAGCCTCGCCACAACACAGTCCTGCTTGAGGGTCTCGCCACAGTACATTCCTGCTTGAGGGTCTCGCCACAACACAGTCCTGCTTGAGGGTCTCGCCACAACAGTCCCTTGAGGGGCCTCGCTCACAACACAGTCCTGCTTGAGGGTCTCCACAACACAGTCCCTCTTGAGGGTTTTACAACACACCTGCTTGGGGGTCTCGCCACACATTCCTGCTTGAGGTCTCGCCACAACACAGTCCTGCTTGAGGGTCTCGCCACAACACAGTCCTGCTTGAGGGCCTTGCCACAATATGCTCCTGCTTGAGGGCCTCACCACAACACATTCTCGACGCACTCCTGCTTGAGCGTCTCCACAACACAGTCCTGCTTGAGGGTTTCGCCACAACACAGTCCTGCTTCAGGGTCTCGTCACAACACACTCCTGCTTCAGGGTCTCGCTACAACACACTCCTGCTTGAGGGTCTCGCTACAACACACTCCTGCTTGAGGGTCTCGCTACAACACACTCCTGCTTGAGGGTCTCGCTACAACACGCTCCTGCTGTCACCGCTCACAGACGCTCGTTCATTACCATTGTCTGTATATCTGGTACTTGATACTGTAACTCAAGATGTAGGATCACGTGAAGATTAGATCCTCTAGTGTAATTCACCTGATAATTAAACACACTAACGCTACCTGGAGGGGTTAGGTTAGGTTACATTACATAAGGTCAACGTAGGTTAGGTTAGCTGGGATGTCTAATCTTCTCGTAATCTGTGTTGTATTGTACATTATTAATTTTGTTTGTTGAAGTTGTTGTGTGTCATGCTAACAGTAATCTTTTTGCAGACTTTCTTGATTATAATCTCATAACCTGACCAGCCTGTGGCAAGTGTCCTGGCCCCGCCTGGTGGCTCATCATTCACTACACCACTCACACACTAGACCCAACACCTCCTCTTATTAATGATCTGTTACGGTGAAGAGACGAAATTATCAAGTTTTATCAAGGTAGCTTCTGAATCTGGCAAGGTGGCAGAAAATTATAAAGAAATTATATTGAGTTTAATCTCGAAGTGTGTTTATTGTATAGTTTTATGTGGCAAGGAGAGACAGTGAGGGGGTGGAGGGCAGGACACTAGACCAAGGTGAATTGCCAACTCGTAAAGAGGAGATGATAATGATGATGATGATGATAATAATGATGATGACAATGATAGGCGTGTAGAGCCGACGTGCCCTCGCCCACTGTACCACACACACACACTCTCTCACTTGGACCCGTTCACCCCCTTGGCCCAACATTTGAAGCAGGAGACAAAGCGTCCTCTCCGAGAGTACTCCATAACCCAGTGAGTTATAACTTCAGTAAGGACTCACTCAAGTGGTGGGTCAAGGGTGGAGGAGGGTCGAGGTGTGGCGTTGAGCTGTCTCTCCCTAACTCTGCTCTCTCTCCCCGCCACGACTGTGCCCGCCCTAGTCCTTGCCCCAGCACACCTCTCCAAAGGTGCGTACTTCCCTCACTCTACGGCATGTGGCGCCAGCATGCTACACCCTCCCTACACTCTGTGTCTCCCTGTGCTGGGGGAGAGGGGCTGTGTATGCATAGGTGTAGGGTCTGTGTATGCCTAGGTGTAGGGGCTGTGTATACCTAGGTGTAGGGGCTGTATGTGCTTAGGGGAGGGCTGTGTATGCCTAGGTGTAGGGGCTGTGTGTGCTTAGAAGAGGGCTGTGTTTACGTAGATGTATGGGCTGTGTATACATAGGTGTAGGGGCTGGGTATGCCTAGGTGTATGGGCTGTGTATGTCTAGGTGTAGGGGCTCTGTATGCATCGCTGTAGGGGCTGTGTGCCTAGGGGAGAGGATGTGTTTGCCTAGGGGAGGGGCTGTATATGCTTAAGGGAGGGGCTGTGTATACCTAAGAGAGAGGCTGTGTATGCCATGAGGAGAGGCTGCGTATGCCTAAAGGAGAGGCTGCGTATGCTGGGTGTGGCAGGAAGGTCTGTGTGTTTTAGTCATAGGTGTGTGTGTGTGTGTGTTGAACAGGAGTATCTTGCTGTCTCAGTGCATTGCTTCATAACTTATGACTTGTATCTCAGTATACGCCGTCTTATCAGTATATCTCATCTTACAGTATACTTTTTGAAGATTAGAAGTGTATAATTGTGTACGGTACACTGTTACACCCGGCGTTCAATGTAGTTAGTATGCTTGACATGGATACCTAAGATTGATATATTCTTAGAAAATATATCCTGATGTAGGTTCATTTTAATTGATGTGCTTCAGTATATCATAGTTTATTTTATTGTGCTACAGTATACCACAGTTTAATTCGTTGTGCTTCAATATACCACAGTTTAATTCGTTGTGCTTCAATATACCACAATTTACTCTGTTGTGTTTCAGTATACCATAGTTTATTTTATTGTGCTTCAGTATACCACAGTTTAATTCGTTGTGCTTCAATATACCACAATTTACTCTGTTGTGCTTCAGTATATCACAGTTTACTTGTTGTGCTTCAGCATACTACAGTTTACTTTGCTGTGCTTCAGCATACCACAGTTTACTTTGTTGTGCTTCAGTATACTACAGTTTAATTTATTGTGCTTCAGTATACTGCAGTTTACTTTGTTGTGCCTCAGCATACCAAAATTTACTTTGTTGTGCTTCAGTATACTACAGTTTACTTTATTGTGCTTCAGTATACTACAGTTTACTTTATTGTGCTTCAGTATGCCACAATTTACTTTATTGTGCTTCAGTATACCGCAATTTACTTTGTTGTGCTTCAGTATACTACTGTTTGCTGTTTATTAGCTACCTATTTCTGCATAATTTACTTTTGTTGTGCTTCAGTATACCACATTTACTTTGTTGTGCCTCAGTAACTACTACAGTTTACTTTGTTGTGCTTCTAAGTATACGTTTACTGTTTGGCACTTCAGTATACTACTGTTTGCTTTGTTGTGCTTCAGTATACTATAGGCACTTTGTTGTGCTTCAGTATACACAATTTACTGTTGTGCCTCAGTATACTTCAGTTTACTTTGTTGTGCTTCAGTATACTGCTGTTGTGTGATATACCACAATTGCTTTAGCGCCTCAGTACTACAGTTTACTTTTATTGTGCTTCAGTATACACAATTTACTTTATTGCAGCTTCAGTATACTATGAACTGCTGTTGACCTTCAGTATACTACTGTTTACTTTTGTTGTGCTTCAGTATACCATAATTTTACTTTGTTGTGCCTCAGTATGCAAATTTACTTTATTTGTGCTTCAGTATACTACAGTTTACTTTGTTGTGCTTCAGTATACTGTACTACAGTTTACTTTGTTGTGCTTCAGTATACCACAATTTACTTTGTTGTGCCTCAGTATACTACAGTTTACTTTATTGTGCTTCAGTATACCACAATTTACTTTATAGCGCCTCAGTATACTACAGTTTACTTTATTGTGCTTCAGTATACTACAGTTTACTTGTTGTGCTTCAGTATACTGTACTACAGTTTACTTTGTTGTGCTTCAGTATACCACAATTTACTTTGTTGTGCTTCAGTATACTACAGTTTACTTTGTTGTGCTTCAGTATACTGTACTAGTTTACATTGTTGTGCTTCAGTATACTACAGTTTACTTTGTTGTGCTTCAGTATACCACAATTTACTTTGTTGTGCTTCAGCATTATTTTACTTTGTTGTGCTTCAGTATACTACAGTTTACTTTGTTGTGCTTCAGTATACTGTTTACTTTTGTTGTGCTTAGCATATATTTCTTGTTGTGCTTCAGTATACTAGTTGTGCTTATTTTGTTGTGCTTCAGTATACTACAGTTTACTTTGTTGTGCTCAGTGTACTGCACTACAGTTTACTTTGGTTGTGCTTCAGTATACTACAGTTTACTTTATTGTGCTTCAGTATACTACAGTTTACTTTGTTGTGCTTCAGTACTGTACTACAGTTACTTTGTTGTGCTCAGCATACTACAGTTCTTTATTGTCAGATACCACATTACTTTGTTGTTTCAGCATTACAGTTTACTTTGTTGTGCTTCAGCATACTTATTTTATTGTGTTTCAGTATACCACAATTTACTTTGTTGTGCTTCAGTATACTACAGTTATTTTGTTGTGCTTCAGTATACTACAGTTTACTTTGTTTTACATTTACAACAGTTTACTTTGTTGTGCTTCAGATACCACAATTTACTTTGTAGCGCCTCAGTATACTACAGTTTACTCTATTGTGCTTCAGTATACTGTTTTCTTTGTTGTGCTTCATATACTGTACTACAGTTTATTTTGTTGTGCTTCAGTATACCACAATTTACTTTGTTGTGTCTCTCAGTATACTACAGTTTACTTTACTGTGCTTCAGTATACCACACAATTTACTTTGTTGTGCTTCAGTATACTACAGTTTACTTTGTTGTGCTTAGTATACTGTACTAAGTTTAATTTGTTGTGCTCATATACCACAGTTTACTTTGCTGTGCTTCAGTATACCAGTTTACTTTGTTGTGCTTCAGTATACTACAGTTTACTTTTGTTGTGCTTCAGCATACTACAGTTTACTTTGTTGTGCTTCAGTATACTAGTTTACTTTTGTTGTGTCAGTATACTACAGTTTACTTTGTTGTGCTTCAGTATACTGTACTACAGTTTACTTTGTTGTGCTTCAGTATACTACCGTTTACTTTATTGTGCTTCAGTATACCACAATCTATTTTGGCGTTCAGTATACTACAGTATTTGCTGTGCTTCAGTATACTGTACTACAGTTTACATTGTTGTGCTTCAGTATACTACAGTTTACTTTTATTGTGCTCAGTATACCACAATTTACTTTGTTGTGCCTCAGTATACTAAATTTATTTTGTGCTTCAGTATACTACAGTTTACTTTATTGTGCTTCAGTATACCACAATTTTACTGTTTCAGTCTCTAGTTTACTTTGTTGTGCTTCAGTATACTACAGTTTACTTTGTTGTGCTTCAGTATACTATAGTTTACTTTGTTGTGCTTCAGTATACCACAATTTACTTTGTTGTGCCTCAGTATACTACAATTTACTTGTTGTGCTTCAGTTTTCACAGTTTACTTTTATTGTGCTTTAGAATACCACAATTTACTTTGTTGTGCTTCAGTATACTACACTTTACTTTGTTGTACTTCAGTATACTACTGTTTACTTTGTTGTGCTTCAGTATACTACAGTTTACTTTATTGTGCCTCAGTATACCACAATTACTTGTTGTGCTTCAGTATACTACAGTTTACTTTTATTGTGCTTCAGTATACCACAATTTACTTTGTTGTACTGCAGTATGCTACAGTTTACTTTTATTGTGCTTCAGTATACCACAATTTACTTTGTTGTGCTTCAGTATACTACAGATTTTATTGTGCTGTGAAACCACAATTTACTTTTGTTGTGCTTCAGTATACTACAGTTTACTTTATTGTGCTTCAGTAAACCACAATTTACTTTGTTGTGCTTCAGTACTACAGTTTACTTTTATTGTGCTTCAGTATACCACAATTTCTTGTTAGCTTCAGATATCATAGTTTACTTTTATTGTGCTTCAGTAAACCACAATTTACTTTTGTTGTGCTTCAGTATACTACAGTTTACTTTATTGTGCTTCAGTAAACCACAATTTACTTTGTTGTGCTTCAGTATACTACAGTTTACTTTTATTGTGCTTCAGTATACTACACAATTTACTTTGTTGTGCTTCAGTATACTACAGTTTACTTTTTGTGCTTCAGTAAACCACAATTTACTTTGTTGTGCTTCAGTATACTATAGATTACTTATTGTGCTTCAGTATACCATAATTTTTGTGCTTCAGTATACTACAGTTTACTTTATTGTGCTTCAGTATACCACAATATACTTTGTTATGCTTCAGTATACTACAGTTTACTTTGTTGTGCCTCAGTATACCACAATTTACTTTGTTGTGCTTCAGTATACTACAGTTTACTTTATTGTGATTCAGTATACCACAATATACTTTGTTATGCTTCAGTATACTACAGTTTACTTTGTTGTGCTTCAGTTTACCACAATTTACTTTGTTGTGCTTCAGTATACCACAATATACTTTGTTGTGCTTCAGTATACTACAGTTTACTTTGTTGTTCCTCAGTATACCACAATTTACTTTGTTGTGCTTCAGTATACTACAGTTTACTTTGTTGTGCTTCAGTTTACCACAATTTACTTTGTTGTGCTTCAGTATACCACAATATACTTTGTTGTGCTTCAGTATACAACAATATACTTTGTTGTGCTTCAGTATATCACAGTTTCTTCTTTTATGAGTTATATTGGAATACTTGTGAGCTCGTGTCACTATATGTTGGTGTGCTTCAGTATATGTGTCAGTATATCTTATTTCACTGGTTTTCGTGTACTGTATGTCAGTTTATCAGTATATCTCCGAGTCAGTTTACTGTATGTCAGTCTGTCGTTGAGTCAGTGTATGTCAGT